TATCGACAACTGTTTGGCAGAACAATGCACGCTAAGACAACTTGCAGATGACGGTGTGGTTTCCGTAAGAGGTCCACATGCCGTGGACTTGCAAGGACCATTGCAAAATTCCTTAGATAACTTGTCTTCTTGGGCTATGAATCTAGGGATCGAATTCTCGCCGCAGAAAACTGAACTGGTAGTGTTTACTCGAAAGCGGTACCCAGCCCAAATGCATCTTAATCTTTTGGGCAGAAACATTACTCAATCATTGTCTTTCAAGTACCTTGGGGTCTGGTTTGATTCAAAGTGCACTTGGAATGCCCATATTACGTATTTGAAGCAAAAATGTCAGCAGAGGATCAACTTTCTCCGTTCAATTTGCGGCACATGGTGGGGTGCTCATCCGGGAGACCTCATAACGCTTTATAAAACAACTATTCTCTCTGTTCTAGAGTACGGCTCTTTCTGCTTTCTCTCGGCAAGAAAAAGTCACCTAATAAAATTGGAACGAATTCAATATCGTTGTCTGCGTATTGCTCTAGGCTGTATGCACTCAACGCATAACATGAGTCTCGAGGTTCTGGCAGGAGTAACACCCCTCCAGAACCGTTTCTGGGAGCTCTCTCTCAGAATACTAATCAAATGCGGAGTGACGAACACACTTATAATTGCTAATTTTGAAGAAATTCTTGGGTTGAACACACAATCTCGATTTATGAGAATCTACCACCACTACATATCATCAGATATGTGTCTTCCTTGTTATACTCCAGACCGTGTTCACTTCACCAATCGCAGTTCCTCAATTGAATATGATCTGACCATGAAACAAGCAACTCATGGGATTCCCGATCAACTTCGACCTATTATTATTCCGCGTATTTTTACTGAAAAGTACCAACAAGTCAATTGCATGAAAAGATATTTTACAGACGGGTCCCGTCTCAATGGATCCACTGGCTTCGGTGTCTTCAATGAAAACTCTAGCGCCTTCCACAAACTTCAGGAACCTTGTTCCGTTTTTATTGCTGAGCTGGCAGCAATCAACTTCGCATTGGGGATGATTTCCAATATGCCCACAGACCATTACTTCATCTTCTCGGATAGTCTCAGTTCGATTGAGGCTATTCGGTCGATGAAACAAGGTAGGCACTCATCTTATTTCCTTTCAAAGGTAAGGGAGCAGATGTGTGTGCTGGTCGAAAGATCATATATGATTACCTTTGTATGGGTCCCCTCACATTGCTCTATCCCAGGCAATGAGAAGGCGGACTCTCTCGCAAAGGTGGGCGCGCAGGAAGGCGAATTGTATGACAGGCAAATTTCACACGATGAATTTTACCATTTAGTGCGTCAGAGTACCTTTTCGAGTTGGCAAACCGATTGGGACACTGGAAATCTTGGACGGTGGTTACATTCAATTATTCCTAATGTTTCTTCGAGAGCGTGGTTTAAAGGCTTGGGCTTAAGTCGTGACTTCATTCGCGTGATGAGTAGACTTATGTCCAACCACTACTCGCTAGATGCTCATCTCAATAGAATAAACCTCGTGGACAGCAACATCTGTCGGTGTGGAAACGGTTACGATGACATCGAACACGCAGTTTGGCAATGTACGGATAATGACGCCGCCAGAGAGCGACTTTTGAATACCCTCGAGGCCCAAGGAAGACAACCCTATGTTCCTATCAGAGACGTGTTGGCAACCCGTGATCTCTGCTATATGCAGTCCGTTTATGTTTTTCTTCAAATGTCTAGTATAAGAATTTAATTCCTTTTGTCTTTTGTCTCTCTTTATTAGTTTTTGTTTGTCTTGTCCCCCCGTCTCGATGAGTCTCATCGTCGCCCACTGGTCACCCACCATAGCCGGTCGAACTCCGGACGAAGCTAGAACAGCACTACCGTTCATACTGGCGACAACGCTCTGATGAGACAACGAAACCCTACCCCAAGCTCCTCCCCTGATCCTATCCTTCGAAAATGTACCCTTCTAACCTCGAGTAAGCCGCGAGTAATCGGCCCAACTCCTACTAGACATAGAATTAAGTGAATTTTGTTACACACAGTGAACAATGAATTATCGGCTCCGTAAAGCTAACGCGATTGAGCCTTCCAAATAAACGAACTAGATAAAAAAAAAAAATCGAGATTACAATAAAAATTGTTGTTACATTAAATATTGGTGTATTTTCATTGTGGGTTACTTCACGAACAATAAAAATAAATCTGATTGAAGCATGCAGACTATGAGAGGGTCAGCAACACTGCCAATGTAATTAAGATAGGCGCTGCTCGTATGGCTCTGGCTTTGACAGTTCGTTTGGCTCAAAACCGCTCATATCTTATCCTAGACCCTCTCTAAAGCTTAATGGAGACCTTTTCCGTGCAGTCAATAATCATACAATAATAATAAAAAATTCCACCACTTGAAGATGTCAGGAAAGAACTCTCAGGTGGAAGCATATTTCATGGGCGATTCTCTCCAGTCGAATGCATTAACTTATCAACGACGCTCAACCACCAAGGAGACGTGACCTACACTAATAGAATTCCACACATTTTTATTGACGAATTTTCATGTAAAATTCCACATGATTTTCATGTGACCACACATAAACAGAATCCACCCAGAAGCACACATGAAAGTTATGAGTCAAATGAATAGTATGTGTGGTTACACATGGCTTTTATGTGTACACATATTAAGTATGTGTCCGACACATAGATATCATTTGTTGATCACATTGCAAAAAATCATGTGTGGGACACATAAAAACAATCTTTGAAATTTTATCAGTGTAGGGATATCGAGCGCAGGGGAGTTGGCCTGCATTTCTCACAAGTTCCGGATCGAATCTCGATCCATAACCAGTAAAAAAAGGACCACCCGTAACAGACATACCACCCCCTTCCCTTCCCGGGGCAATGTTTTATTTTTTCGATTTATTTTTAAAGTCGATAAAGTAGATCTGTCAAGCCAACACATACACTCTAAAGTACACTGTTATTTTTTTTAATCAATAAATTCGCCAACCAACAGTAAAATAACAATAATATATAATGTTATTGAAAAAAAAATATATGGGAAAATCACGAAAATTTCATTGTTAAGATACTTAACAACCCCCCTTTTTTATTGTAAATTTTCCATTTACCATGAAATTTATTGTTTTGTACAACATAAATCAAGGTAAATTTATTGTAGACGTAACAATATAAATCATTGTTAAGACAATAATTTTCGTCTTATTGTTACATTGTTTTTTAATGTATTTTTGTTGTTATTTTTTTTCGGGTGTGCAAAGAGTGTATCATTTTGTCATTTTTTTATGCATTTCAGTTTAGATTAGAGTGAAAGAGATAGAACCAAAACATTCTAGTACATTTAGTGTTGCCATGTGGTACAATCCATTAGTAGTGTTGCCATGTGGTACAATCCAGTAGTAGTGGTGTTGCCATGTGGTACACTGAAAAATTGCAATAGCAGGTGCGTCACCAAAGTTTTCGAGCCGCTCCGTCTGTCACTTCGTTTGTGCTGTCAAAGATCATATTGCACACAAAATCAACTATGTTCAAATCAAAACAAAAATACTAGCCCATCTGGTGGCTGATGGCACAAGCTTCTAAGAAAATTCTATTACAGCGAACCACATTAATTTAATTGATTTCTTCGCCAGTTAGTCGTCTGTCACTTCGTTTGTGGTATTAGGGTAGTCCTTTCTATATGCGCGTATATTGCTGGCCCAAAAGTGAGGATAAAGGCCCCAGCACAATGACAGTGGAAGCGGAACGGCAGCGGACAAGCCCGATCTGAGTAAGCCGACTTGTCGGATTGAAAACTAGTTAGAACCAAATCGACTTCGGTTAGGCATCTTGATGTAATTTGTGACAACTGTCAAACTTGCTGTTTCCGTTCCGCTTTCGCCCACATTGCGTTCGAGTCTTAACAATAACCCATTTTTTTTAGCTGGACCGAAAGTGAGGATAACAAACCTCGCTCTTGAAAATGGGATCACCCAAGTGTGCGTGTTATAAACGTCAGAAAGGCCAATTGTCCAACTGTCAACTCAACGTAAACGGATCTAATGCGCGTGTCCCTTTAAAGCCTTTGTTTACAAAAGCAATTTTGCCCTTTTGAAATGTTGGCACTGAATTTAGTTTTGCTATAGTGGTGCAAATGTTTTTTGAGTAGATCTGAACGTTTTAAATAGCTAATTTACTTTTTAAATTGTTAATTTTTTTTTCTTAAGCTACAACAATTTTAGGCATAACATTTGATAACGGCACAAAAGCATTTGTAAACAAACTTTCTAAGGCCCTTTACACGTGAACCAAAGTACGCCCACGCAAACCAATACCACTTTCGGAAAGGTGATAGTTGCCCCTATCCGATGATGTTGTTGGTTTGCGTGGGCGTACTTTGGTTCACGTGTAAAGGGCCTTAGAATGTTTGTTTACAAATGCTTTTGTGCCGTTATCAAATGTTATGCCTGATTTGTTAAAGTTCGTAACTAACAATTTGTAACAAAATTTCAGCAACCCCTCCCCCCTTCCGTGTTACTTAATATTTGATCGGACCCTTTGACACATTCGCAAACGCTTGATTCTTTATTTCTGTTTCTTGTGTACACGCTATTTCAAAACTACCCAAATTTGGGTAGAATCCACCAAGATCGGTCAAAACTGAACCTACCCAAAAATTGGGTAAACTATGTTGGGAGTGACAAGTTGACAAATGGACAACATCGACATGAATCCGATCGACTTTGTTCATTTGTCATCTTGTCACTTCCGACATAGTTTACCCATTTTTGGGTAGGTTCAGTTTTGACCAATCTGGGTGGATTCTACCCAAATTTGGGTTGTTTTGAAATAGCGTGTATGATTGACATCGCTTCTTGCTGCCGTTTCTGTTTGCAGTCGAGAGCGACTGAGCAGAAAGATATTGGAAACAAATGGTGAAAGTGAGATGGTGCTATTGTGGACCCGAGGAGAAAACAAAAGCCAAACTACAAAAATCGACCTCCATTCGTAGGAAAATCGCCAGCTGCGAAAGTACACAAATTTTTAGTAGACGGGAAAATTTGCTGATTTGCGTTTCCTGTGGAGCTTTGCTAATTCATCTGTCGTATCCTGGTACCTGCATCCGAACGAAGGGTCGCAGGTAAAAAAAAAAGTGTGCAAACTTGCGATTTACGTTGTTAGGTGTGCAACAAATTTGTTTCGTAAAAGAACACGTTTTTTTGGAGTGAAATCCAAATTGGAGACGGCTGTCTGTCTGGTGTTTCGGAAAATTTTGTTTTGATTAGTTTCGGAGTGAAAAAAGTAAGTAGCAGTATCTCTGGTAATTGTTTGATTTTATGTAATTGGGTAAATTTCGTCGGCAGTGAGTCGAAACAATGGACGCCGCGGACGTGGGAGAGGAGGTGCCAACCGAGGCCGCAACCGTCAGAATGTAGTAGCGCCACCGGAGGTGCTTGACTTCGGAATGTCCGATCCATCGAGTGACAGTGAAGATGACATCGATCTTTTTACCGGCTTAGCACTGATTGAAGCGTTGAACAAAATGCGAGGCCGTCCGGGGCGATCTTCCCGCTTTGGTGTGGGCCCTGATCCGGGAAGTGGATCTGACGAAAGAATTGTCTACACCGAGGATGACATTCCGATTAACACGATTTATGCTAGTTTCTCGATGTGCCCGGAATCGGCCACAGAAGCCACCGTCCGAACGCTGTTTGAACAGTTAGGACCGATCAAAAGTGTCCGGATTCACACCAATCAGAACAATAACATGTACGATGATGGGGAAGTGGCTAGCGGTGGCGGTGGAAGACGAGGTAGAAGCCGATACAATCGGAACGAAAGAGTCAACCGCTATGGGTTTATTTCGTACGAACGCTGCGAGGATGCTGCCAAGTGAGTTTTCAGAATATCTAATACTTAGATTCGTGATTAAGATGAAAAGGGGGTAAACAATTCTCAACCTACTTTTTGGGCAGAGGTGTTTGAACTGTTTTTCTTGTAAAGTTTATTACGAAGTATTGATTAAACAATGTTGTTACTGCATAGAAAGTTTGACTGAAACTATGTCAGGGTTCTTGACACTGGATAAAAACTTAGAATTACTTTTTTTCTATTTCCAGATGCTTACAAAAGAAATTTTTGTTCAAGAATAAATGCTACGTGGCTCCCGCGGACAGTTGGCACCAGGAGGCATACCACAACAAATTAAAGGAGGCAGAAGAAGGGGCAAGAGAAGGTGTCGATTCATCGAAGAATTCTGACGCCGCCGCTAGTTCTGCGTCGGGATGTGCCGAAGGTGCATCGGTAGCACCAAAAGCTTCCAAGGCAGATCCCAACACCAGCGCAATCAGTAAAACGAAAATCAGTGACGTCAACGGATCGGAACCAGGCAGTATGAACATCCTGCAGTTGAACGACGATTGTTTGATGTTGATTTGTGATTATCTGGAGCTGATGGATCTGCTAGCTTTGAAGAAAACCTGTTCAAGGTTCGAAACTATTTCATGCGAAGTGTTCAAGCGGTACAAGATGTTGGACTTCGATATAGATCCTTGCGAAAAGAAGTACCTAACAATGATGGATGCCAAAAATATCTTAATGGAGATCGGTTCCTACATCGAGTTCCTGTTGATTTCCAGGGACCGTTTCCTGAGGCCCGGGGTGAGGATTCTTAACCTGATTCCGCGATATTGTCCGAACCTGAAAGACCTGAATATCAATGACTTCATGCTGAAGGCCAAGACTCTGAAGGGTTTTGATGAGGTATTCAAATCGTTGGAAGGGCTGACGCTGACGGCTTGCGGTATCGATGATACCATCTTGAAAAGCTTGAAACTTGCAACCAAGCTACAGCGATTGAATCTGTCGATGAACAGCGAAATCACCGGTAAATGTTTGGCCTCCGTGAAGAACTTGAAGTATTTGAACCTAGAAAGCTGCCAGAACATACAGGGAAAACCATTTTCTACCTTTGCCGCGCAAAATAAAACATTGGAATACCTGAACATCACCTGTTGCGGCCGACTGACAACGGAAGCAATCAAGTCCATCGTGAACAACATGACTGAACTGAGGCACCTGGTGTGCAACAACAACTATGATAACGTGGACGCCGCTAGCATGGCGCTCCTTGGCAAGCTGCCCAATTTGAAGAAGCTCCAATTCAAGATCAACGGCTACTCACCGATCGATCAGATTTTGCAGGGTCTCACAGAGGTGAACAAGCTGGAACATCTGGACCTGTCGGAAGGAGTCTTCACCGCAGTCGATTACACTCTGCTCAGTGACCTCACACATCTGAAAGAACTGAAACTAAACTACAAACTTGACTTGGGTGACGACCAATTGGCGAAACTGTGCAGCAAGGGGAATTTTGTCGAACTGCACATTGCCGGTTGTACGAAGCTCACCGACAAGCAGCTGATCGAGTTCATTCGGAAAAACCCACAGCTGAAGCTGCTGGACATTTCCTACTGCCAGATAACGGAGGGACTGATCTTCTCGGCGATCGATATCCTGAGAGAGCAGGCCGTCGGGTGTCGGGAAGGAAGTCGCCAACTCAAGATGATGGTCGGACAAACCAGCATCTGCCCGGTGATATTGAATGTGAGTATTGACTAGTGCTTGCGGATCCTTATTGAAGATCGTTTCCTGTTTCTGTGGTGAAGTTAGAACATTTTTGTTTCCTTGATTTGTTTTCCGTACTGAGTACCAATGCTACCGTCGACGCCAGGTACATGAGAGGAAGAAAGAAATAGAACAAGTTAAGTGTGAGCCACATGCGTTGTTGGTTAATCGTTTGGGTCGTGGTGTTGTGTTCCCTATTTTATTTTCCTCTATTTCGCTCTCAGATCGCAATACTTTTCCCCTCCCCTGAAAAAGAGAACCCATATTTGGTAACCTCTCGTGAGCGCAATTCAAAAGATACTAATAATTCTAGAACTGGGCTCAAACATATCACATTTTCTAAGACTGATCATGATTAATATAGTTCGAATAATGAGAATTGTATTAAGAAAAGACGATCCCAAAGAAAGTTCCCTAGCAATAAAACTATTAATCTGTGCTAATCTGAGCTATTTCAAAATGGGAATCCATACGCTGGAACTATTCCCGGTCTCAACAAACTGTACCGAAATCAGAACAGCTAAACTACTCTGTAAGATTTTGGCATTTCTATTTAATTAGCTACTTTATATCGAGCTCTTTTCAATAATTGCAACATGTGAATAATGCAGAACCAGTTTAAAATTGTTCTACTGTCTTACCTGACTTATAACGACTATACGTTGTATCCGCGGGAGCACCAAATCGATAAAAAAAACGGAAAATTAGGTGTTTTACCTCGCATAGTTGAATAGTAGATAACAAATTTCTATGGTTTTGACAGATGCGATCGCTGCACATTTGAATCCGCCGTTATGGATTCTCGATCAAGAGTTAAGTTTTAGTTTCATGTCGGTTTGTCGGTGGTGTTCTCTCTACTATAAATCCTTCCAAGCTACACTCAATCAACATTATCTTGACACTGAGAAGCTCAGCAGTTGCAGCAATTTCAGTCCCAGATTTCATTTTTCCACTTAGCAACTCAGATTTGTCTGACTTGTCCGTGACCAGAAATAGCCATTGGTTTTGAACATAATCACAAACCTTGGGGATACAATCTTTGCTCCATTGATCAAATGATCTATGTTCCTTTGTACGCATTCGTAAAATCCCGTTTCAACCTTCAAAGGGAAAAAGTTAGGAATACAATCTGGCTCCTCACCCGACTGGTGCATCAGTTTGGAATAGCGATCAAGCCATTTCTTTTGATCGAACTTATCAGACATCAATGCTTTCAACGGTGGATGCAAAAGCTGTTTGTCAAGCTTGCCTGAATAAATTGCACAGATTTCAAACGACTTCTTAATCAAATCTTTGTGATCCTGTTTCGCCCAGTTCCAAACCCATTTAGTGGCCATCAAATGCGATGGAACCTTGATATTGCCACGGTTCGTGTGATACTTGGTACGATCCGAAAGAGCGGTTTTAATGTACTCTCCGTACGATTCAGAATAGGCTGTTTGAAAACTTTTGTTGATGGACACATCCAGTGGCTGAAGGAGCGGAGTCATCCCTGGTGGAACAATAACGATAAAAACGTTCTTGCGTTCGTATTTGGCTTTCATCTCCTGCGCGAGGTTGATATGAGGTCAGTTATGGCCCACAATCAGCAGTGTAGGCTGTCTCAAAACTGTGGTTTGGTGACGGTTCAGTACAATCTTCTCCATGTACTCTTTGAAAATTTGTACCGACCACACACCAGTTTGATTCACGGCAACCATAACATGCTCATCATGAAGCGGAAGTTTCTTCAGATCAGGAAACAGGCAATGTGGCGTCAGCATCTCTCCAGCAGCGTTTACAGTGAACGTAGCCGTGAACTTCTTGTGAGTTGAAGCAGCTTGTGCTCCCTTTAGTTGTAATGGTGGAACTTTGCTCAGATTGGTAGTACCGGGGAACCTGGTCCATGTTCAGAATATTCTGAGGCTTGACTCCCTTATCGTTGATGATGGCATGGATCTCGTCGAAAAACTTGTTCGTTTTTTTCCAGGGCGTTCTCCGGAAGAACGCTTGTAGTTGTTTCACAGCGACTTACAAAATGTTGCCGCCGCTTGAATCTGTCAAGTCAGCCGTGACTAATATTAAATCCTTGAACGTTGAGATCTGTGGCCAAGTTTGATGCACCTGTAAAATATAAAAGGAGAAAAATATTCATCAGAAGTATTGAAACGTTGTTAACAACAAAAGTAATTAAACAGAAACTTACCAAAATAAAGCGGTCTGTAACACGAATACCACTTTTGTTACACTGTTTGATCCAGGTTATTAGGCGATCGTCGAGAACAGGGAACAAAGCTTTTTGTCCTCCACCGGGTAGACGACGACGTCTTTTTGACGATCGCGATCTGTCGTTCACTACAGCCTCCATCTGATTTTTCCGTTTGATCCATCCTTGTAGCGTTGATGCCGAAATATCGTATTTCAGAGCGAGAGATTTAATACCTTTGCCATTGAGGCCCCTCTCGTATTCTGAAAGTATTTGCAGCTTCTTCTGAATCGTAAAACACTTTCGTTTCTTTTGGGTTTCTATTCCGATGGCCAGCTCATCCGAATGAAATCTGCAATCTGCATCGACAAAATCCTCAACTTCCCCAGCATAGAGAGGGTCCGGAAATAGCTCCTCCTCCTCGTCCTCCTCGAATAAAGAGGTATAGTATACGTTCTATACCATTAATACGTATATTCGTTATGAGTCAGGTAAGACAGTAGAGCCAAATTGGTTTTGAAGCAAGGTCAAACCACAGAATAGATAGGTAACATGGGAATCAGAAACGGAGCCATTTAAATTTCAATTGGTAGTGACACCTAGCGGTGGAGAGAACGCTTTTTACACTCAAAATTTATTTACACTTATACCACCTTTTACCATTTATACCAGCTTTACTGGTATGTACAATTCAAACATACCCAAGATTTATATATTGAAAGGTGTGTACACTTCTGTTGGTGCTTATGTATAGAGTGTCTGTAGGCAACATCTTATTCACAGATTTCATCAATGCTTCCTGCAAAATCAAAGGGTGAGTAAAATGCTAATTGTGGAGTGAGACGATCACATCAAACAAAAACTGTATTTATGTTTTTTTCTGCTAATTCTAGTACGATTATCATAATTCCATACTCTTGGATATTCAAAAACACATTTGGAATAAAACATATTCATAGATTAACGATAGAAAATAGGGGAAATGTCGGATTCAGCACTTCTTTACCTATTACCATTAGCGGGTATTTATTTGCATCATGTTCCAATGCATTGTTCTGCAAAAAATTAACACTCTAAGTCTATGCTCTAAGACTTCATTTACTCCCCTGGCGATAAAAAGGAAAGAAGTGCCGAGGCCGATATACCCCCTAATTAAATCCAATGTTTCATTCATTATGAATTCTCAAAACTATATTCAATCTACATACAGATCGCTTTACCTGTAGGATTTGAACATATCTTGGGATGTCAGATGATATTTCGAAGGAATGGCAGGGAAACTCTCTTTACTCCAATCGCATTTCTCATGGCCGTGTGCGTTTGTGTTAAAAAGCAAAACATCTTCCTTCTTTCACTTTTCATGCGTAAAAACCGTCGTCCAGAAAAAGCGAAATGATAATGCATTTCGTCGTAGAAAAAAATCGTTCCATTCACGACGAATGACCCCATTGTTTACGATTTATGAGAGGGAAAGCGAATACGAGCTTATCTGTCATGTAGCATATACTTGCCGTCTCTTTTGTTCTTTCAGTCCTCCTGGTAGCAGTTAGTGGGACACCACACTCGACATAGGAATTGGCGTTGACGAGAGCTCTGTAACTCTTTACTCCTATCATGAAAAGCAAATCAAATCTTTCTTGCCAGTTTTCCCAGATTTTTCGATACGTTGCGTGTGTGATAATATTTTTTGCATTTCTTTGCTTAATGCCTTTGATGTTTTGATCGAATAATTCAATGAAACAATTAAATAAATGTTGTCATGTTACTTTGACATGTAACATTTGTATGCTCATCAGTACATAGTGGCTTTAGCAGTTTTAATCCAAGGTTAGTTATGTACTAGAGTTTAATATATTTTTTTTTCAATCTGGCATTGCTGGTACTGGTATAATTGACAAGAGTCGTACAGTACTATCCTAATATTTTGATCATGTGAATCAAATGAAAACTTTACCGTTTTATTAAAGTACGTTAAATTTATTTTACTAAAGATTGCTAGTATTGAAAAACTAAACGCAACAGATTATAATTATGTTATGCATGTACAACTTATTTGACACATGATCTTTATTAGCATATTTGTATAGCTTTAGCTTATTAGTGAATTTATGAATTTAAGGAATAAACATCAGTAGAAATTCATCAAAAAAATATTTGAAATTATATATTGCACACAAGAGGGTGTCAATGCAGTCAGATTTTAGTTTTGTTTTAATAGTTAATATTTTTGGGCTATTTAACATGACGTTAATTACAAATAATACACGCAGTCGTGACCCGCAAATTATTAAACTTCCAACAGACGCGCTGGTGCACTTGATGAACGCGCAAAAAAGTAGATAGTACCGTAAGTTGGAGGGTAAATTGGGCCAAAAACACACAATTTTAAGTTCCGTTCCTTATCAAAATCACATTTTAGCGAGGAAATTAGTTTTAAGCATGTATTCATCAATAATATATTTACAACTGTTTAAGAGATGGTTGATTTAAATCGAAATCTCATTTTACTAAAAATCTATAAAAACTGGACCATTGAAATTCCTTATGGGCCAAAAAAATACATTTGTCCATAAATCTCAAAATAAGTAAATGCAATGTAACTATTAGGAGTTCATTTGGAAATGATCATAATGTCAATCGTATACATGAATAAGGATCACGTTTAATCCATGTCTATCCACATAAAAGTGTGTTAAAATATGTGATTACCAATGGACAATTTTAAACAACGCTTTTTTTTAAAGTAGTTATGGCACTTAACTTTTGAACACTATTTAAACAAAACTTTACCCCA